CTGAAATCTAAGACTGCACTGCTGTAATACCTACTTACCTAGGAGTCTGCCCCATTAACATTCCTCAATCTTGCTTCTGAAAAGACTTGTACATACGACTGGACCATTAGTCATGCAGTGTATACTGTTTCTCTCTAGTTAAGAAGCTAAACCCCTGCTTAATTTGCAAGAGGCATTTTGCCTTGGATATTAAAAATTACTATGAAACAATAGATTAGGATGTGGCTATATTCTATTGTATATAAATTATCTCCATTTGTTGTTGTTGTTTTTTAAATAAAACATTGTTAATAAATTGCTGCTGTCTTTTTGCCACCACATGTAGGTTGCTAAGATAAATGAGTTTATTTTGGTTTTACAAATTAAAACCTTTTCAACATTTCTGTTGCCCATCCAACCTAAGGATATTAGGACCTGCCTTATCTGGAGGAAGCCCATGCCCCATCAGGCACTGCACTGTCATTTAAAAAAGTTTATTTACATTAATTTTCATCCCATCTTTTTCACCATATGTGCTCTGGCCAGGGAACTTGCAATGATCACTCAGTGAATTTCAGCTTAGTACTTAGTTCCTTGGTATTTGTCCAGACAAAGCTCATCAGTTTTTCAAGAGTTTTCTGCCAGCTTGCAGTGTTCACCACACAGCACCAAACATGGCAGACTGTCACTTGGAACTTCAGTCACCCCACCCTCAAAGAAACAAATTCAACAACAAAAGAGAGTTCTAGATTTGGGCAAGGGATGGGGGGACGACAACACAAATCTCGTCAAACAATCTTTACACAGCTCACAGCAAATCAATGAGAGCAAGGGGATAATGAGAGGGAAACAAGTACATATTATTATTATTATTATTATTATTTGCAACTTCACTTCCAATGCTGCTTCAAAGAGCTCCTTAACTCACTGAAGAAGATTGTTGGAGGCATAGAGAGACTTCCGGGTTGGCGCCTCTGGCAATGGTGGATTTCCTCCGATCGGGAGGAATCCGCTCCGTGGAAAACAGGGTCTGAACCGCCACGGCGAGGCGGAGACCCATCAAAAACCACAGGCGGGAGAAGCCTGTGGACGTGGGATTTGGCTGGCACCTTTGCGCCCCCTCCACTCACGGCGAAACCCTGTTTTAGGGATCCGGAGTGACGTGGGGTGAGTGGCACGGTGCCTTGAATCAACTGCTTCTTTCACGGAGTGAAGCCGCATTGCTGTTGCCGGAGAGTGCTGACTTTTTCCTGTGGACAATTGGATTTCAAACAACTGCCCGTGAGTAGAACGGAAAATTGGACTGTGAAATTTCTTAATTAGGCATCGAAAGCGGGAAGGTCTAAACAGGAAGTCCACCTTCCGCTTTTGTAGATAGATTGAAGCAAAGACACGGCAAGCTACAGTTCAGAAAGTCGTTTGTAAAGGACTAAATTTTCATCATTTAAAATTACTGAACCCCCCTTGGAAGCAGGAGAAGAGGGGGGAACCTTTTTTAGACTGTTTAAACCTGCAGAAGAGAGAGTAAAGAAAGGTAATTTTCCACCGTCTTGAACCTGGGAGCGGGGTGTCAAGACAGACGTTTTGGAGAAGTTCATTGACTATGGACAAACGTCTTTGACAGATAGTTAAAAGAACAGAAACATATTGATTCCATTGTTCCCTTTCGCTTTTAAAAGGAACAAAACTTTGACAAAATACCCGAAAAAGGAAAACTTTGTTGCTAAATCTGCCTTTAAAAAAAAAAAAAGGAAAAAAAGATGGATACAAATAGAAATTGTTTCCCCTAGAGGGAGCTTGTGAAACTGTTATTAAAGTCGAACTGGGGAGTTTTGCAGCTGTAAAAGATTAAGATCGTGGGACCAGACTTCGACCTTGAACAAGAATGTGCTCAGAAGCTCTGGTGCTTGCCTTTTGCAAGACAAGTGCTTTATTGGAACAGTTACATGAGAAAATGGATTTGATGACAGTTGCGATCGGAAATTTTGGACAGGCAGTGGGTACCTATATAGAACCCACTCAGGAATTAATTCAGGAATGTGCTTTAACAGATGAGATGAGGGAGGAGGCTGTGGCTGGACCTCGGGTGGCAGAGATGGAGGGAGCTGTGGCCCAGCAGGAACATGAGTCGTTGGATTTGATGAATGAGCCTGGAAAAAGTCAGATTTGGAGAGACGGAGTTCTGCTTGGTTTGGAGATGGGGGGCTGGATGGACCCCCCTATGCAGAGATGTTTTGATTTTTCAAGTCTGGCTTTAGGCCGGGGGGAGCTCGGAGTTGTGGGGGCCCCTAATTTTGGAGGGGCCTTGAAACATGCCTTTAAATACCACATGGATTTCAGTGTTGACTATGGAAAAGGGGCTGATTTGTCGAGAAGGGATAAAAATATTGTCAAGTTGGAGTCTCCCAGAGTGAAAGGAGCAGAAGACAAAGTAAAGCACAGGTATAAACATGAAGAAGACCTGCGGAAGGGACATGGAAAAGACTTAAGAGCCTCGGATATAAGGTCACCAGGTTGATTAACTAGATGGATGGGATAGAAAGGACTGACAAAACCCGAGACCAGGAGAAGAGACGATGGATGAAGATTGGAAGAAAGTTTTAAAAATTTATTTAGAAAAGTATCGCAAAATTAATGAGTATCAGAAAAATGTTGGAATGAAATTAATTGGCTTTAGCGGAAATGTTAAAAAGAATTATGTAAGAATATGTTATGGTTAAAAGAATTCGGTATAAATAAGATTTAAGTTTTAAGTTTTAAGGTTTTTTATGGTAAGATAAGGTTAAAATAGATTAAGGTAATTTAATGACAGAATATTGTGAAAGATGGAAAGGATTTGCTGAGTTAATTTACAACTAGAATACAAAAAAGGGAGGTGTGAGGAGGTCGATGAAATAAGTTAATGAAAGTTAAGGATTTGGGAATATTGGATTTGTTTTTAAATTTGTTGTATATTTTTGTTTTTTGATTGTGTTGCATTGTGTGTTTTGTTTTTTCTTTTTGATTTTGGTTTTTATTGATTTGTATTGCTTAATTGTTACTCTTATCTACTCTTTTCTTTCTCTTTCCTTTTTTCTTATTTTTTCCTTCTTTTTTTTTCTTTGTAACTTTAAAATTCTCAATAAATATCTTTTTTTAAAAACAAAAAAAAGATTGTTGGAGGCATAAACAGGGTTGCAAAGGACAGGAAGAGACAGTGAGAATCACTCTCTTCTGCATATGGAACCTCTTTGGGATTGTAGAGCCTTCCGTGAGCAGAGGAACACAATTGGAGAAGAGAGGAGGAGAATGACGAGGAGGAGGAGATGCTCTTGCACTGGGCTATGACCAATATGAGGCATAGGCAAACTTGGCCCTCCAGATGTTTTGAGACTACAGTTCCCATCACCCCTGACCACTGGTCCTGTTAGCTAGGGATGATGGGACTTGTAGTCCCAAAACATCTGGAGGGCCGAGTTTGCCTATGTCTGGCCCATATACTTACTCTCTTTCTCTTTCTCTTTCTCTTTCTCTTTCTCTTTCTCTTTCTCTCTCTCTTTCTCTTTCTCTCTCTCTCTCTCTCTCTCTCTCTCTCTCAGCATGTCATTGGCTTAGATCCAATGAGTTTGTAGAAGATGTTCAGCACTCTCAGGAGGTCTCAGGATTGTGCTTCTTAGGTGAACGGATTATAAGTTTAGGAGGTTTTTTAAATAAGGTCCCAGAACTTTAATTGGAGATTTTCTGCCAATTCCTACTTATCTGTTTAATCCCTGGTCCTTGGGAGCCTTTAGTTCACCTGCTGGACTTAAATATGGTGTATTCAAAACAAATATGTTTATGGTTTTAACACAGATTTATTGGAAATGCACAGAGCTTCAAACAAACACGGGGAAAATTAATAATGGTGAATAAAGAAGATGAAAAAAGGAACATTTCTTCCATTCCAAACTAGCAGAGATAGTGGTGACCATTCAGCCAGGATCCCATATCCCAGCACGTTGTCTCAGGATCCTGGTCCTGGTCCAAGAGTGTCACACACTCACAGCTTATCTTTCTATTTGGCATCTAAGGTGAACCACAAAATGCTGCCTGGCCCCATAGCAGGCAAGAAGGTGTGAGCAAAAATCTACATTAGGAAAAAGGGGGGAGTGAAGATCAGGGGAGAGCGAATCAAATCGAACTTAACCAATGGTTGAAGTGGGAATCAAAGGCTACCATTGGAAGGGGCAAGGGCCCCCCTCTGAATCGTGATGGGCAGTGCACAGCCAAGGAGACCCCAGAGGGCAGCCCCTGCCATTTCCTCTCTAGGGATGGGAGGAGACCAGCAGCACCTCCTATTTGCCAAGGGGCCAACTGTGGAGGTGGCATGGGGGCAGGCTGCCAGGAGGCCACAGATCTGGCCTCCAAGGAGTGCGCCACAGCCATTGCTGCCACTGCAGGACCAGCAGGCAATGCATTCATTGGAGGCCAAGTCTGCTGCTCCAGTGGATCCTGCCACCTGAGGAAGTTCCCTTACCTTGCCTTTGGATGTATTGGCCTTGCTCTCCACACTTCCCCAAATCAGCACAGACTGTGGAAACTTCACACTGGACTTCAAGCATCTGGCATTGTGTGGCTCCCCATTCTTCCTCCAGACTCTGGGTCCTTGGTTTCCAAATGAGATGCAAAAGCTGCTCTCATCAGAAAAGAGATTTGGGGAGCCATGTCATCAGCTGGTGTCGGTCCACTGTGCTTCATTAAGTCCAGGGTCAACGCAGCTGTCTACCAGGAGATTTTGGAGCACTTCATGCTTCCTTCCTCAGACAAGCTTTATGGGGATGCTGACATCAATTTCCAGCAGGACTTTGGCATCTGCCCACACTGCCCAAAGTACCAAAACCTGGTTCAATGTCCATGGGATTACTGTGCTTGATTGACCAGCAAACTCGCCTGACCTGAACCCCATAGAGAATCTATGGAGCATTGCTAAGAGAAAGATGAGACATGAGACCGAGCAATGCAGAAGAGCTGAAGGCTGCTATTGAAGCATCCTGGTCTTCCATAACACCTCAGCAGTGCCACAGGCTGATAGCATCCATGCCACGCCGCATTGAGGCAGTAATTGATGCAAAAGGGACCCAAACCAAGTACTGAGTACATATGCATGCTTCTACTTCTCAGAGGTCCAATATTGCTCTATTTGCAGTCCTTGTTTTGCTGATTTCATTTAATATTCTAATTTTCTGAGATTGTTAATTTGGGGTTTTCATCAGCTGTACGCCATGATCATCACAATTATAACAAATAAAGGCTTGACATATCTCGCTTTGCATGTCATGAGTCTATCTCATATATTAGTTTCACCTTTTAAGTTGAATTACTGAAATAAATGAACTTTTCCACGATATTCTAATTTTCTGAGTTTCACCTGTATACAACTCACATATACAACCCAGATGTTTGCCATGTGTGCTGTCTAGGAGTCAAACTCTAGCACTGGTCGATGGCTCATATACTCTTTATCTCTCTCTGCATACACGCACACGATACATCTCACTGGGCTACGGCCTTTATTATATGTTACACGCAGACACTTCCACTGATGGATTTTTGATGTTTTCTGTGTCAAAAAGGTTTGCTTTCATATCAGAGCATTTACTGATTTAGCAACTGTTTAATCACTCTTTGGCTAATTATTAATGTGCTCCTGGTACTGGGTTTTGGGGTGCGCATGTTAAATATCTGGTTAAAACACAAAGGCAGTGTTCTTTCATAATGTTTGTTGTAAATTCAGCCATGATACATAATCCATATTAGATTCTGGCACATTAACACTCCATTCAAAGATGTAACTATCGCTTCCTCTGGGCACAGCTACTATACTCAAAAGAAATTACCTGGAAATCAGCTTGGTGGAAATCAGCTTTTTACAACTGTTTCCCCTAATGAACAAAAGTAAAGCATTGTCAAAAAGTTTTGAGTTCAGATTTCTGTGGGGAGCAAGGAGAGAGTTGTATTACATTGCTCCTGAGAACATCCTACAAGCCAGCAATATGCTTCATTTTGTAGAAAATCAAGGCCTTATTACAGAATTTAGATAAGAGGCTGATATGTTCAGAGAAAGCATTGAAGTTTCTCAGGTTTCAGTGAAATGCTAAATGTTTATTGATACAGAATAAAAGAAAGGGGGAGAGACGTTTCTTTCATAGAATGTTGTCAACTTTTTCCGGTTTAAAATTTCAGCAGTGCAACACCAAAATTTGGCACCTCCTACCTCTCACCTTCCATTGCTCAAGGAGAAGTGAAAGCTAACAGACAGATTCCTGCTTGGCTGTACCACAACTGTTGGAAATATTTTTTCAGTTTGAGGGCTGCATTCCCTTTTGGGCCATCTTTCTACAGCCCCATGTCACTGGAATCAAATGTGTCAGTGGCAAATGTGGGTGGAACAATTAAATAGGTATTATTATTATTATTATTATTATTATTATTATTATTCCATTTATGTCCCACCCTGCCTCCCAAAAGAGCCCAGAGTGGCAAATACACCATTAAAACATTAGCATTAAAAACATTCTAAAAGTAGTTTGAAAAATAGTCCATCAGAATTCAAGGACACATTGCAGCCAGGCAAATATCATTGGGTGTGGGGTCAGGAGAGGGGTATGGCCTAAATATATAGTCTTGTGTGTCATACAGAGAGGCCTGGAGACCTATGTTAATGATAATGTAATACAAGGGAAGCAGCAATTAAAGCCACCCCTGTGGGCATGGAAACTGACACTGGGACTGTTGGGAGGCTACTCATCACTAGTGTTCTGTGGTGATCAACAGGAAGCTATAAAACAAGCACAGCAGAGGGACAGGAGACTTTTAACTAAAGGCACAGCATCCAATTTGCCTGTCCACAGACTGAATGAGTTTGTGCTGCTGTTGTGTTTTACTGTGCAAAGAGTGCCACAATTAAGGTCTGGGAGGGAAATATAGGAAGACATCGCAGAAAAAATACCGGAGTGCAGTGATCCAGTGCTAACAATGTCTGCATTCTCCATAAAAAGTGAGTGAATAAAGGATGGAAATTCCAGACAAAAGATGTCTGGTGTGAAAAGACACACTCCATTTCCACTGCATGCTATATTCAATACAGCAGGAGTCTTATAACATTTTCTGCAGAAGTAGATATTTGCTTGGCACAGCTTGTTTGTTTACTAAATGGATTGCAAAAAAATATATATATTCGCTTATTCAGTGTTAAGATACCTTCCTCGGATCTCGTTTTAAGCAATTCTTTAAGATACACTTTCTCATTAGCATAGCACTTGGAGAACAGGAGAGCGCCAAAGGATTGTCAATATTATTTTTCTTCTTTCCATGTTTGGAAAGGCAAGCATGCTCGACTTCCCATTTGCGTACATCTTTGTCATTTCCTTGCATCTGCTTTCATCTGCTGTATAAACCTGTAATCTTTTGAAGGCTTAAGAATAATGAGGATTTAAAGGATTGTTCTTCATTTAATGTCAAGAGATAACTCGGACTTATTTTTTTTTCTGCAGCGCAATGGAAGCAAATAGGCTGAAAATGAGGTAAAGATTTCCTGCCACCCCTCTGAACCGCTTCTTGGTCTTATTGCAGTTGTGCTGAATAATACGAAATATTTTAAAACTAAAAGCAGAAGGGTATTACCTTGTTGGATGGACATATTTACACAGTGCTATTTTTCTAGGAAGAGGTGCCAGAACTCACCAGGAACATCTCCCATGTTCTCTTATAATGGCAATGGCGCCCACCTGAGAGGTGCCGGAACTGATATTACACTTGATTTGGGAATTAAGCACTTTGAGGAGCAGAAACAAACACTGATTTTAAGCATTTGCTCCTGCAATGGTGGAGTAATGTGCCAGTACCAACTCTTACATTTTTTCATTGTAAGCCAGAAATATGGATTTGCATTTAGGTAGGTTGTAATATCACTTGATGACTGAACAAGACATCACTGTTATAGAATCTTAGGCAGAATATCCAGTTTGCCTGTCATCATTTCAGTAAGCAGTTCAGCGTCAGTAAGTCTTCAGTAATCAATTCTAGATAAATCAAGTGATATACATGAATGTATTGATTCCTTAGGCCCTACACATCAACTTTTCACTAGAGTGATTGATTTTATGGGATTTTCATCCCATTTCAGACCCCATACTTTCGCTTAAGACTTTGGTTGGCCAATGTATTTCATAGACTGAAGATTTTCTGTGTGCATTAACTCAGAGGAGTTACAAAGAGATCAAATTATGCCTCACACTTCAGTAAGAATATTTGTAATTCAAGGGATTCTGGCAGGATTGCAGACACTAAAAGCTAACTGAGTATTATCTAAAGCTCTGATTTTTAAGAATTGTGAGGTGTGCACCTTTTGTCAACACAGAATATAAAGGCAAGGGGGAATTTATTGTCACTTCTCTCAAGCAACAATGAAACCTTTCCCCCCAATGGTACATCAGCAAAGTGATTCATGGCAAGATCTTAGCAGAGGAACCAACACTATAGTCTCTATCTGAATTTCCATAGTAGCAGCAGATTAAATTCTCTATCCACCTGGCATATAGCTGCTCAATCAAGGCTGCTGTTCCTAGGAGGAACTGTTATCCTGCAACTGGAGTCTCACAGAAACAGGGATTGAACTCTGCTGATGCATACTTGGGTCATCTTTGGGTTCAAAGTTCACATTCAGTTCAATCAGGTTCTGTACCAGTTCAATCTGCTCCAAAGGGAATTGTTAATCATGTCTTCCAATGGAACTCTTTAATATCATACCTCTTAAAAGGCTGAAGCCTTTCTTCAAAGTCCGGTTCTTAGGAGAGGGCCGAAGAGCAAGAAGCGTTTGTGGTGAATAATGCTGACTATTTTTTACCGTGCAGTGTCTTAGGTCAGCTTCATATATTTCCACTGGGAAAGGCCCTATATTTCAGTGATGTTCAAAGTCTAAGGTTCATTCCCTGACACCTCCAGTAAAACACTATCTCCGAAAAAGCTTGCTTCAGAGATCACATCGCAGTGTGTGGGGAAGCCTTGGAGCTCAGCGGCAGAGCACACAATTCACATGTGTATGATTTCAGACTTAATCAAAAGCTTTGTCTTAAGAAGTCGAAGAGGATGGGCAAGATTCAAACGTAACAGAAACATGTGACAATGGGGTAGCAACATGCATATGACAGAACTTTGGTGAGTTAGGGGACATAGACAATTCTTCTCTTTCTGCTTGGCAAGCTAATTGTGCCATCCTGCTTTTTAGGATGCTACTCACAATGCACAAGCGAGCATTTCCAGCAGGTGATATCTCAGCTGGCTCTCCTGTGGTCTTTGTTTAGCATTTAAAACACAGCTGGGTGTGGCCCATCTGTCACTGCAGCAAATGCTACAGTTGTATTGTCTGGAAGTGATGTTATAATTCCTGCATCGAAAACAAGACAACTGAAGAAGAAGAAGAAAACAACAACAACAAGGAATTGAATCTCATGACCACCACCAGAATGCTATCTGCTCCTCATCCTGACTTCAAATCACTAGTGGCATGTATAAAAACAGCCATACGTAGGCTGTTGGAACACAAAGCCTGCGTAGACTTTTAGCATATCACTAGGAATGACCACAGAGTCCAGTTCGCAGTAGGCTGCTAAAATTCAGTGTGTGCTGGAATTATGCCAGGGCCCATGGCTCTTCACAACACGGCTGGCAAGTAATGTTCGAGGAATTCATTCTTTGTGAATTCTGATGCCAACAGAACATAATCACACCTCCTGGGCTAATATGTGAATTGGAACACACGCTTTACGATGGATTTTGCACTCCTACATATTTTGCAAAGTTTTCAGCTCAGAAAGTACATTTAGATGTATGCAAATATGTAGAGAAAATATGTTTAGAAATGCACAGTTTGTGAGAAAACATACCGGTATAAATATATATATATATATTTGAATATGGGTATTCACGTACATTTTAAAACAAATGTTGTAGATTTAATGCAAGAATGGTATGGAACTGATAGATGGGTGTGATATGGGCCAGAGTTAGACTGATTTGACCTTCCCTGCAACTCAATGCAGATGAAACAAAGTGTGCAGAATGCATTTTCCGTTTTTTAGGCTTTTCTTCTTTTCTTTTTTTGAGAACTCTTGGTAAATTTTCATCTGCCTTTCCACCCCTAAGATATCTACCCTTCAACATTCAGATTCAACCTTGGAAAAGCCCTTCCACCACCAGGCCTCTTCTTAACCAGTTTCCTAAATTCCACTTTCCCACACTCGCCAAGTAAAAGATGAGGGGAAAATAATAATAATAATAATAATAATAATAATAATAATAATAATAATAATTCATTATTTATACCCTGCTTCCCCAGCCACT